CCTGCTCCATCCTTTTCAGCTCCAGCTGAGCCTTCACGCGCTCACACTGGGCCTCCAGCTCCGTCTTTTTCCACTCCAGCTCATCTTTCTTTACTTGAAGGCCTCTCTCTTTCGCCAAATCTTTTAGTTCAGGCACGGTCATTTGGACGTACTGGTCTGCCATCCTGGCTATCTACACTATCCAGTCGACCCAATGCCAAATTAGAAAATGTTTGCTCAAGGGATTTCAGTGACTCTATTACTCATCCCAAATTATGCCTGTAACACAGCAGGGTATTCAGATCCCACCGCTAACACCACGTGTTGCGGGCCCAGGGATCCCAAATTATGCCTATAAAACTGCAGGGTTATTCGGATCCCATGGCTAACACCACGTGTGGTGGGTGCAGGGACCCCACCTCAGGAAAACAGCTGGGTATTCGTATCCCACTGCTATTTCCACCACGTGAGGCGGGCCAGTAGGGGGTGCCTAGGGGGACACAGGGGCCTGCAGTACCCTTGGGCTCCCTGCTGGTGTGCCCCAGGACTCAAAATGCCTACAGGAAACCATAGAGGCAGCCCAGCCCTGGGGCAGGAGAGGCTCCAAGTCCAGAGCCCTGGGGCTAGCCTCAGGCCAGCCCCCGAGTGGCACAGCAGACTTGGAAACAAACTTGCTCTGGGTCACGTCTACATGCGCAATAACTAATTGCAGGTAGCAAATTTACCCATTAAGCATTTTAACTGTGCAGTAAGCATGCACATGTGGGTACTGTGCATGCTTACTGCACAGTGAACTACTGTATGCTACTGCATAGCTAAGCGCCTCGTGTAAGATGTGCCCACAGATAAAGTTTTGTTGGTCCTAAATAATGTAGGAATAACAATGCATTTTAGAGGTATTGTCTACTAGCCTCCATCCTTTTTTTTGTCAAGCCATCTTTAATAGCTATAGTTAGTTCTTGAAGATAGTTGTAAGCCTTTTCTTGGCCTGGACTTCAGCAGAATACTTCTGGCTCTCCACCAACATGGTATCTCCCACTTCTTCTCCCCTCTTTCCCCCTCTCCCCCTTCCCCGCCCTCCCTTCCCCCCGAGAAATGGCAGAGGCATGAAATAGAAGTAGCTTGTATCGCTGGATTTTTTGCAGTACAGAAATAAGTCTGAAGGCAATTAGACACATGCCATTACTGTGTATTAGTTTCTGTTGCTGGAGTTCATAACAATAGGAGGAAAAAGCATAGTTATGAGACCAATAAAGGGCACAGACCAATATGGGCAGTTCGACTTAAATTCTGGATAAGTGGTAGCATGGGTATGTTAAAGGACTGCAGGACACGCACAAAAAATAGTTGTATGTGGAAAATGTTTATTAGCCATTTGACTAAACACCCAATTTCAAAGACATGAGTCATTTCTTCCCCTCCTGCTTTCTCTGTTAAACATCACTCCAGAAGTGACAGTGTTAATAAATACAGTGAAATGGTATCTCTGTAAGCCAAGCCACATGGTCACATGGCTCAGCGTACTGGTTTTATTTTTAACATCCCAAACTACTTGATATACTTTTCTACTTGGGCTTTCTCTGTCTTTCTGTTTGTTCCTCTTTCTCTGCACCTACGTACCCCTTTCCACCTCACTTCAACACTGCTGAGTGAAACCAAGAGTCTTGGTGCTATCACAAGGATCCTATGATCAAGGTAAGGACTTGTAAATAGAGTCTTTATTAAACAAAGCTTATGCTTTATTTCCCAGCTATGCCATACAAATCAAGACTGAAACCTACAAATCTCAGCGGTTAAAATAAAACCACTTAGATTATAAAAACTTATAAAAAATAAGTGCTTACTGGTGCTCAGTGCCCCAGTTTTTATCCATTATACCTCAACACCTCTAAAATTGACATGCAGGATGTCTCCTGTTGGACATCCAGCACACAGGCACCCAATATTGGTGAGCACTTCTGAAAATGTTGGCCTTAAACTTTATTGTTTATTCTTCTAGTAATCCATACAAATTCTGAATATTTTAATAGTTCAGTTATATACTTCCCTAAAACAATTGCATATACACTGTAAATTACATTTAAGAAAAAATTCAAAATATGGGCTCTAAGCTGTAAACTTCAACTTCAACATGAGGTTGCAGAAGCAGAGGGTAGAAGGTCAAATGAAGATTCAACCTTTGGGATTTTCAAAGTATTCTGAAAAAGAAGGTTGCGAGATACATAGGTGAAGGGCTGGAAAAAAAAAGTCAGGAGTAACCTTGAGATGCCCTGAAGCAAACCATTCATAAGATTTTAAAAACTAACTACAGTGGGGAAAAGCAGGGAGACATTTCCATGTTTAGCCCCAAAGTAGATTCTAAGACAATATAAGATTACATAGAGACAGTGCTGATTGCACATCATAGAATTGATATTTTTAATATTATAAGGACCTTTTTAGTTGCTCCTAACTTTGCCAAATTTTAACCTTTTGAACTGAAATTTTCAATGCTGGGTTCCTTTCAATTTTGTCTTTTCTTAGAGCAAAGTTAAAAAAAATTCTAGCAATTAAATTGTAACATTCTTATAAATGTAAAAGTATTGTAGTTGTTTAGTTCAGAAGCTTGAAATATGGAAATATGATATGCCCTGTTGTTAGAGAGTTGCCTTTTGTCAGCCCTATAAAATCTGACCAAATTTGGCCAGGTTATAAATGACTGAAAAATTGCAGATAGCACATAATCAGCAGAAGTACATGAGAGTTCAGCATCATTATGCTCCAAAGAGTTTCATCTCTACTTCTGCTGCATCCCCACACAGCTCACAGGTGCTAAAAGATGTCACATATAGAAATCCCACCAAGCCAAGAAATGTGCTTTATTCTGGAGTGTTACGGGGATAACTAGAACTTTTCTTGCAATTGTTCTTCCTACAGTTAGGGGCCATTGCAGTGCCAGGCACCAAAACTAACAGCAAGGACACTATCTCCCCTGAGCTCTCAGTGTTCTCCTTAGGTCTGTGCAGCCGGAAAGCCCCAAGGTAATCATTTGACTCTACTAGTACAGGCTGAGAAGCAAAGGTTGGGCTTGAGAGAAAAAACAGCAATGGAGGACCGGGACATAATCTAGGTGTGGGAGCTGGGTACACAGATACAAATGATGGAGGTGGAGAATGAAACAGGAAGGAAAGTATAGAAAGAGGTGGGATGGGATCCAGAGGCAGAACTTTATCTACAAGGTAGCATCCCTCCCTAGAACCAGGCTGTCAGTGATTTCTATTGATGAGATCTCTGTCTCACCTGGGTTCTGGTTCACAGAAGACACCATTACGTTTCAAAAGTGCTTTAAACTAGCTGGCAGGGGCACTGATAGCATTACTGCAGAGACAGCATGGAGCTCATCATGGTCTAGGCACCTCTGTATTTAACTAGGGTCCCAGAGAGGTTTTGCAACCTGCAATGATGCCTAGTTGGTTGTGTCTAAACAGTTTTTGGTACTCAAACTAGCTAGTTTGTAGCAAACTCAGATACTGCTACATACTTTGCAATCACACCTGTTATTGCAGTGTACACTTACCCATCAAGGGTAAACAACTAGTATGAACAGCTACTCAAGTGATAGAGGTGTGAGCTGTGGCTCTTGGAGGTGCAAACCCTGCCACTTGGACCACATCAGGGCCAGTACAGTTCCATATGATGGAATTCCTGTTTACTCAGTGGTTTAAAGAACAAAGTAAGCAACTCCAGTATAGCACATTAGGCAAATGAGGGTTGCATTAGTGTCTGGTGAAAATGTATTATAATATAGTCTTTAAATGCATAATTGCATGCTGTTTTTCCACAGCTCCAGGAAATAAAATGGGGTTGTGTAGCCAATGAAGCCTGTAAGTTATCTGTTTGATGGATATAGAAAGTGTATAGTGAATGAGGCAGAGGGCTGCAGGGAAAGAAAAAAAGAATCTCTTGTTTAAATCAAATGGATTCCAGGGAAATGGATGTTTCCTCCCACTATCAGAGGTCCTGAGTGATGCTTTCACTGCACACTCATGGTAGCAAGTGACAACAGAGAGAGAGCCATAAAAATACTAAGTACTCTGAAAAAATCAGGCTGTAGGTATCTTCAGCTGGACATCCAAAATGTGTACACTTCAGTATCCTATTCATAGGAATAATAAAAAAGTACTACTTTACATCAAGGAGTGCTGTGAAAATAAATTCATTAATGTTTATAAGTTGCTCAGATACCACAGTGAGGAATGTTCTAGAAAGAGACCCTAAAGAAATTAATAATTCTTATTATGTAGTACAGAAGACATGGGTCCACACAATTTGTAATGAGGATAAAAAGAAATACTGAGCATTTACCCATGCAGTAACCAACTGTGCACTTAATAAGGAACGTGAACATTCTTTCAAAGAAATTTTTTGAGACTTCTGAATATAAGTCTTTGGATTTAAGCATTCCTAAGATTTTTCCAGAGTAAATATGCTTAATTTTGGAAAGATGATTTGTTGTAAATTTGCAATCAGATCCTAAAGATGTCCTATGATCTTTATCATTTGAGGAATCTGTTGAGCTACTACACTGTCATTCAAATGGAAATTTCCTCAAGTTTCTTTAGAAAAAGTTTGGATATGATGCAACACCATATTATCCTAAGACATCAATGATCTACATGTAGTAAGCATCCTACCAGAAAACAGCTGCACTATTTTGGATTAATTTATGAAAGCTGAATTAATTTGAGAAACTCACTGGTTAATAAATTGTTTAATCTATGAAAGCGTTAGACCTGCCCAGGGGTCAGACATCACCAATGTCAAAATAGTAGCTGTATATTTTAAACTCTATTTGATTAACCATAAAGACAATATAAAATTTTTTTTGACTAAAGTGGACAGAATGGGAACACCCCTGTAGTTTTGAACACATATCAAGCAAGCTTTTCAATATATAACCCAATTTTTGTGCATTTATTTGCCAGTTCCCAAGAGCAGGGCCAGATTAATGCATAGGCAAACTAATCACATGCCGGCAACCCTGGTCTTTTCCTCTCCAGCATCAGCACGAATAGCCCCATTCACCTCTCTTCCTTTCTCTTCTCTTCCCTTCCCCTCCCTTCTGCAGGCCTCGCTGCAGCAGCAGCTGCTTCCTAGCTGTGGCTCTGAGTCCTGCTCCCTGCACACAGCAGTGCCAAGGTGTGGAGGGGTGTTTCAACTGGCCTGGGGCCTGTGAGTTTATTTGCCTAGGGCTACTAAAGGATTAATCCAGCCCTGGCCAAGAAACTGAGAGATACAACCCATTTCAAAGCTGTAGCCAAGTTCAGAAAAGCTTGTTCTTCTTCAACCTATTTGCTCCTTGTGTACCTTAGAATTTTATCTGTTACCTTTACTGACCCCAGAATTATTTTAGCATCTGTTGGTATTTTGAGTTGATATTGCTGCTGGAGAGTGAGCCATAATTTATTGCATCTTGCATCAGCAATAGTCATCAGCCAATGTCTGAAGACAGAGCTTCTGATTACTGGCTAGATGACAGGGAAGCAAAAACCCATTAGGCTCTGGTGGAGATTGATGCTTAATAAGAAAAATCAAATCAAGCAAGTTGGACATTCAGCAAAAGAGATGAAAAGTCACTCTTCTCCTCTCATAGGCTATAAAAAATTGATAAAGCCCAGATTAAAAAGATCAGGTCTGAGCTCACATGAACTATGATTCTGCATCTAAACTTCAGGCTCTGTCCTCTGTTCATCTCTGGTAAGAGCGAATGAAGTGTTTTATTTTTACAGCAGATAGAATTAGTTTCATTTTACGCTAGTGTAACTGAAAGCAGGATCAGCTCCAGAAACTTTGTTGACTACACTTTTTGCATTCTGCACCCAATGGACTTGGGCAAGTTGTAAGTGAAATGAATGCTTACATGCATTAGTTACCATTCAGATTTGTGTGTGTGTGTGTGTATTTATATATACATACATACATATACATATACATAAATCTATATACATATGTATATATAAATACCCACATACACACACACACACACACACACACACACATATATATATTCAATATATATGTCAATTGCTGTGTGTATATCTAGATATCTATATCTACATATCTACATATCTAGATATAGATATCAATGGTTTGTCCTGGAGTTAGTCCCTCAGTGGAAAGTACTGTTCAAACATTCATGTTTTTTATTGCTGCGTAACATACCCAGCCTTCCTCTAACCTTATATAAGTCCTGGCTGAGACTATTTTTAGAGATTACATTTGCAATGAAATACTATAAGAATCGAAGTGGCAGGGGTGCTGCCAGTGAGAAATAAACTGCCCAGTGTCTTGCTCTTCTGAGCTGCTTAAATGCAGATAAAACTAATACAGCCGTGAGAGAAAGATCTTATCTTTTAAAATATATGAATATTGGACTTCAAGACTGAATCATAGAATCATAGAAAATTACGGTTGGAAGGGACCTCAGGAGGTCATCTAATCTAGCCCCCTTCTCAAAGCAGGACCATCCCCAACTAAATCATTCCAGCTTTGTCTAGCTGGATCTTAAAAACCTCCAAGGATGGAAAGTCCACAACCTCTCTGGGTAACCTGTTCCAGTGTTTTACTACCCTCCTTATGATAAAATTCTTCCTAATATCTAACCTAAACTTCCCTTGCTGCAACTTGAGACCATTGCTCCTTGTTCTGTCATCTGC